TCAACTGCTTGTGATCAGTAGTAGTATGTTCTAGATGGACCTAGGATCTTAGGACCAGGAGGCGGTCATGATTAGGACCAGGAGTCGGTGATGATTCTTAAGAGCTACTGCAAATGGTCACACTGACTATTTTGTTTTCTTAAATAAATTCATTCAGTGTCTTGGCAAACGGATTCATTTCTTAGAGCTTTATCCATATTTAACAACTATACTTGAAGATGCAAAGAGTTCAATGTTCGTTGACTTGAATTAAATTCAATTAGAAAATTGTTTGATTTGGTGTATAAGATTAATCAAACTGTTGTGTTTTCATAAATTTCATTTGATTCTAGGACGTTTTTGAAAATCTGGGGCAAATAGGAGGGGTAGGTGGCAATCAGCTGAATAATTTGCATTGGAATTCCTGTTTGGATTTGTTTCTGGTACTCCTCTTTAGAAGGACTCTTTGTTGTGTGTTTGTGTGTGTGTGTGTGTGTGTGTGTGAGAGAGAGAGAGAGAGAGAGAGAGAGAAAGAAACTCAGCAGCACCTATTTGGAACATACCAGGCTAGAAGAGAGAAAGTATGTCTCCTGAAGCCCCATAGACCAGGGTCAAATCCTAGCTTCCCCAGTCGTGTGATCTGAACAATGTCTCTAAGTCTCAGTTTCCTTCTTCTATAGAATAGCATATTTATTTCACAGGATTTTTGTGTAGTTACATTGGGAAGAGAGAGAAATCCTCATCTTCTTGGAAAGGTTTGATCCAGGTTCATTGGAGACATTGAGTTACACGAATGTCTAAGTCAGAGAATGGATGGTGAGGAGGTTTTGAAAATAGAGTAAAAACTTTCAAAATCTGATAAGAATATGGATTGGGATAAAATCTGAGAATCATTCAATTTAAAGCAATACAATCTTCACTTAAAAAGCTGTGTATTATATGTTAATATGGATTAAAATTTTTTTTAAAAAATTTAAATTCAATTAATTAACATATAGTATATGTTAATATGGATTTCTTATGAGCCCTATTTTGGTATTTCAAATTGGGGAACAATATCTCTATTTAATGAATAATAAAGCAAACTTTGTGAAGGCATGTGTAGAATATGATTGAGTAACTTAAATGTAATTGAAAATCTCCCCTTAATATTGGGGCCGGACAGTAGAAATAATCCAAAGAGATTTTACTGAAGAGATCGTATTTAATCTTGTTGCTGTATCCTCACAATCTATGAACTCATTTAGATAACTCTCTTGCTGGTGGTGCTTGCAATGTCCAAGTCAGAACATTAGATATTCTGTGCAGAGACAGATATAATTTATTTCTGTGGAGCTGGCTGGAAAAAAAAAAAAAGTCTTGTTTTTTTAGTTTGGTGTAATATTTAGCAAATGAGGTGCTTTGTATCAAGGATCTAATGTTGAATATAAAATTGATGGACTTCAATGAAATGATTTTTTGTACTATTATAATGGGATATAAGTATCAGATTTATTTTTGATAAAAATAGAATGATTCAAGTTCATGACATTATCATGTTCTCTGTAAATCTTATTTCTATTGAGTGACATTAAAAAAAAAAGTAGTATTTCCATCTTTAGAAATAGCTAGTAGTTCCTAGCTCATAGATTAATCTTGGGTCACTGACTTAACATATTTTAAAGCCCCACATCCTTTTGGGGTGTAAAGATGGAGGAAGGTTAGAATTTACTTGTGCAACAGTGGCTTCATATTGCCAAGAAGGTTCAGTTGGTTCAGATAACTTTCCAGAAAAGTCAGGCAAGTCATTTCCTCAGTGTCTTTTGAAATGATGCTTTATGGAAGTTTTCTTAGGGAGGTATAACTGTTGCATTGCTTTTGCACAACAGTCTAGAAATATAAGTAGTGATTTGTTAGCTTGTTAAAAAAAATTTTATTTTGAGTGGTGAAGGTTGTCCTACTGAACTCCCAGACATTCTGAGTCTTTTTGATCATTAGCTGTTGGTGATTCTTCATCTTTTTTTTTTTTTTTTAAATCACAATCTTCTGAAAAAGTTGATAATTATTTCCCAGAAATATTCAGGTATGCAAATACTTGCAAAATCTTCCAGAAATTTTTTGAGGATTTACAGACTCCCACATCTCATTTCAGTAGATGTTGGGAGACTCAGAAGGGCAGAATTTCCATGTAAGGTGTAAAATAGGGGCAGAGAAATCAGTTTGGTTCAAACCTTAAATTCTACCAGGCATTTCCATTCTGTCAATTGTGTTTATTAAACATCTACTATGTTCCAAGGTGTCCAGCAGGGAACAAGACAGAGAAAGGCCTTGAGCTCACTAAGCTTACATTGTGGGGGATGTTGTTAAGGTGAAACATGGTGGTCTTGACCCTCAGAATTAACTCTCACTGGTACTTGTACATTTCAGGAGCCCCTTTTCTTCAGAAACTGAGACGATTTTGATTAATTGACCTGACAGTGCATGGCACATCATATTTACTTGGGAGGATTTAATAACCTTTGAGACTCCCAGAGGAAACATGAAAATTTCCACATACTATTATCCTAATGGGATCATAGTAAGAGAAAGTGCAACCAAAGATTTAAGGTTCTCACAGGCAAAGGAAGCTTTGGGTCAGTCCTTAAATGCTATTGGGCTTTTCACCTGAATTCACAGAAGATAGAAAAGTCAGGGCAACAGAAACTGGGGGCAGGGAAAGGAAGCATTTTATGGTGATTTATTATCTTAGGGGAATGAATAATCTGTTTCTTGGGAAGTATACTATTTAAAATTTAAAAATATGTATGTGGAACCATTGTTTTGATAAGTTACAGCAGGAAATATTTTATGTACTTGGGAATTTTGGGAGAGAAAATAATAATATGGATTATCCTATAGAGGTAGTTCTCCGAGGATCATTTAGGACCAGCAGACTTGGCATCCACCACCCCCCAAAACTATAGAAACTGTAGAAATTGGGGGGGCAGCAGTCTGTGTTTTAATAAGCTCTTCAGATGGTTCTAATGCTTTAAAAGTTCAAGATCCACTGCTCTACAGTGATGTGCAAATTATTGTTTTTTTAATTTGACTCACATTTATCAAACACAAACACATGTAAGTTGTATTGTGAGCTTTTGAAGTTTATAATGCAATGCACATTTCTCAGTATGTTAATTTTCCTTTAAAATATTCCCACACTTAAAGCAAGTCTCGTTTCATTTTTTTAAGTATCCTAAAATAAGATTTATATCAAATTAGACCATTTTATATCAAATTAGACAACATAATTGAAACACCAAGCATAATAGTTAATGTACAGTAGATGTACTGTATATCATAGTTCCCTTTCACTTTTATCTATTAGCGCTTGTTTTTCTTTAATTTGTCATATAGATTATTGATTTACTCTCTTAATTTTAGAGTTTGAATGTGAATAAATTATAAAGTTTTAAATATTAAAATAACTTAGAATTCTATTTATGGGTTATTTTGGATGTACACCCCTTTGGGCAGCTTATACTATAATATACTGAAGTAGAACGAAATTTTAGATTTCTGTAGGGCAGAGTTGAGTTTGAGTTTAAATAAAAGAGAATGAGGGGTGTAGGAAATACTGCATTTTGACATTGCTTCTGGTAGCACCTGGATTTCCCCAGGTCCTACAGCCTGAGAGTGCAAAGGAGTTTTACCTTGCCAATGACATTAATAATCTACAATTTTCTGGATTTCCTTCCCCATTTGCCAACAGCACATTTCAGCCCCTTCCCCGGAGGATCCCCCACTAATCTGGGGAGTTTTCAGAGTGTATTTGGATAAGCTTAGGAGCATGGCTGGCCGGGCTCCCGAGTTCTGCTCAGAGTAGGTGCCTGAGAGCTCTCTGATGGCCCTCGGCTACTGCCCCGATGTCCAGGGCCTCTGGGAGACGGCTGCTTTCCTGCCCAGAGCACTGTGTCTACCCCAGAACCTTCTAAGGCTGACGGGTACTCAGTTACTGAAGGAACTCATAGGCGCCATATTGTATCACCAGTGTAAATTCCTAACTAATTTCCCAGTCCCTCCTTCTCTTCTGTAGATACTCACCCACTATTACGCAAGACCTCCTTCCCTGACACATGCTGACACAGGCAAATTCAAACTTTGCTGGGGAGGGGCCTGCAGCAGGGCTGGTTTCTGGGACATGTGACCTATGTAGTCTTCTACCCACGGCCCGTGCTTAGAAGGGCTCAGTGTTTGTTTTTTAACGCTGTGTGTGGCCATCTCAAAATTTGCCATAATTTTTGAACACAGGGACTTGCATTTTTATTTTGCACTGCGTTCCTCAAATTAGGCAGCAGTCCTGGGCAACTGCTCACCATTCAGCAGAGACCCAGACTCTGACCTTCGGTTTAGGAACAGTTTGCTAGTCTATGCCTGCCTTTTCTCGAGTCTGTTCTTGAGGTTCACAGTAACAATGTCTAAACTCTCCTTAAACATTTCTCAATATGTGGTAATAAGATCATGAATTTAAATATGATTTTTCTTATGGGAGTAGAGTCTATAAATCTGTAGGAATCCTGCAACACTTTACTATTATTGACTTTTTCGATATTAGGTCAATTTTAGTAGTTCCTAGCTCGTAGATTAATCTTGGATTAATGTCTAAAAAAAAATCACATTTGTTAATGGATTTCCTCCTGTAAAAGGTGGCAAAAGTTTAGTTAGAACCACACTAGATTTGATTCATTCCTCAAACACAAATGGTGGACCCATTAAGTGCTAAGCAGGAGGGCCATAAAAATGGAGTCACGTCCGTCCCTGTTTTCTAAGATCTCGTAATGGACCTCGGGTGACAGATGCAAAGAACAATGATTTCTGCCTTGGGGGCTTTTGGAGCCAAAATAGGGGAAGAGATTAAATATCATTTAATAATGTGATACCGCACCGAGGGGCTTGGTGTGTGTGCGAAGACACTGGGGATGTACTTCAGGATTTGAATCATTCAGTCTTAGGCAGACTTGTTTTTTGACTCCTGTTTTTCCACCTTTTCTCTCCCGTGCCCTTAGCCTCAGCACCCCAGTCAGATGAAGGCTCCGACATTGACTCCGAACCCGATTTGCCGTTAAAGAGAAAACAGCGCAGGAGCCGAACGACGTTCACAGCAGAACAGCTGGAAGAGCTGGAACGAGCTTTTGAGAGAACCCACTACCCTGACATTTATACCAGAGAGGAACTGGCGCAGAGGGCAAAGCTCACCGAGGCTCGAGTTCAGGTACCGACTCTAAACGTCCACGCCTGGATTAAATCCGGACAGGAAGCAAAGTAGCGTCTTTTCATCTAAAGCAGATTTTATTTTCTTTAAGATCTCATTTATTTGAGAGAGCGAGCATGAGCAAGGGGAGGAGCAGAGGGAGAGGGAGAAGCAGGCTCCCTACTGAACAGGGAGCCAGATGGGGGGCTCGATCCCGGGACCCTGAGGTCATGAACTGAGCTGACACAGACATTGAACCCACTGAACCACCCAGGCACCCCTAAAGCAGATTTGAAACCCAGAGAATAAATACGTTGGGAATGGTACTTCATTGTGAATTGTAGCCTTGAGTAGCATAAAGTTTCCACCACGTTCTCTCTAGTGTCTTTTCTTTGTCTTTTGCCTTGTCCTCATGGCACTATTCTGACCTCTTTTTAATTTTTATTTGTATTTGCCTGATCACAACCCCCCCCCCACCGAATTTCTTTTGTTTTTAGGTACGTCTATTGTATCCAGCAGTATTTTACTTTGCTAACCAGTCAGACAATTATTTTTTTTCTCACTTAAGAGGTTGGTAAGTCTAATTAAATTTATCAATGTGATCAGTACGTTTGGCTCCTTTTCTGTCATGCTGTTGGATACAAGTATTTTATGTGGATCTGTTTTAAAATGACCTATTTGTTTGCTTTACATTCTTAGGGTTTTTTTTTTTGTTGTTGTTGTTGTTGTTGTTACTTAAGAAAATGTGCATTCTTATTTTAGCCTTTGGTTATCATTAATAGAAGAAAACAATTATGTCCGATGTAAGTGTGTCAGTTCCTGTTGGTCACTCCCCATCTCATGAACCCTTGTTACACACGGGGCGCGCTATGGACTTCAGGGGTGGCACATAGATAATAGCAAGCAATTGAGAGTGGTCCCCTTGTGCCCAGCACTGTTCTAAGTGCTTTACGTGAATTAACCCATCTACTCGGCACTAGAACTGTAGGGTGATACTATTATTTACCCCCAGTTTTTTTTTTTTTTTGTCAGACTATTGAAGTGAGCACCCAAGGTCCTAAAACTAGTCAGTAATAGATGTAGTTGGATTCTATATACTTGCTCTTGATGACTTTTCAATTATGAGGATGGGCAAAGTTGTATAAAGAAAAATTCCTTCTAAGGCTGCTTCAAATAACTATTTCAAATAACTATTTGAACTAACATTTCAAATAACTATTACTTTAGGAATGGTTTGAAGCATCTTCTGCAGTTTTAGAATGACTCTGAACTCTCTGGAAAGACTACTTTGGTTTAATAACTTTCTGTTAATAGAATAACATTTTCAGCATTAATGAAGATAGTAAAACACTGTTTGAAGGCTTAAAAATGTCTTAGGGTATCCTTAAACTCCTCGAGTTAAGTTACTTTATCTAGAAATGTGTTCTTTCCAGCTACTTGACTTTCATTGTCAAAGCGAGCCAGGAGACGCAGAGGTAAACTGATCGGTTGATATGGTCTCTAGATTGATCATTGCTTTCTCCTACGCAGCTCACTACCTCTCCTTTTCTAGGCTTTTACAGAAATAGCCTCTTCCAAGGTACAGAGCCTAGTCAGAGTGATTGTCTTATTCAACCTGACTTGCCATATATCACCGCAGAGGTAAGAAAGTGAAGGAATGCTAAGATGCATTAAGGCAAGTCTCCCAAGGAGCTCCAGTCTAATATTAATGAGTTAATGAGATAAACACAGAGAGTTAAAAAAGCCAGTTATGATAAGTAGCCTAAGAAAGAAACAAAGTGCAGTGGGAGTTGAGAAGAGGAAAGAATGAGATCTTGCTGGATAACAAGAGAAGCTCACAAAGAAGGCAGATTTAAGATGAACCTTTGAAGCTAAATAGAAATTCTCTGGACAGGGAGGGTGGGGAGAGTGTTTTAGTAAGAGGGAATAATGTGAACAAAAGTGCAGAGAGTTGGATGCATGTGAGTCACATACCTGGTGATCTTTCATTTTTGCTCATGTCAAAGGAATAGGGACTAGTTCAGTTTGGTTGGAGGGTAGGAAGAAGTAGGGTGGTGGGAGGAATATGGTTGGAAAACTAGGCTGAGGACATCCTGCGGTGGGCTTGGGTTTTAGGCAAGGGCTCTAACAGTTGATGTGATGGGTAGTGGACGCTGTGGGCATGAATGGGTTAGGGGCTATGGGAACAGAAAGAAAAGGCAGTGGCAAAAGGTGGAAGGTAGGCAACAGGTTGGGTAAGCTGGAAGTGGGTGGAAGGGTGAGCAAAGAAAGGAGTCAGAGATGTGTGGAGCCTTACTGTACAGATGTTTTACAGCGGGAATTATTGACTCTATCTATCTGTTACATTGGGATACGGTGTTCCTCTCCAGAAATGACCACCACTAACCACAAATTATGATAACTTACGTACATAAATATGGTATGATATAATACCATATGTGGTATATGAATCATGATATGATCTATAACAATGTTATAAATATTGTATGTATCAAATCTAATTGCGTTTATTACAGTTCTGTGGACACCTGGCTTAAATCCGAAGTCAGATTTGTTCCCATCTCCATTCTTCCAGCAAACCTTTATAGAGCGCTCATTGCATTCCAGGATTTGATCCCTATACTCTTTGTCTGGCCAAGCCCACATCCTAAGTCCGTGCTTCAGACAGATAGGAGATCAGCTCTGCACTCAGAGTAAAAAAAAAATAAACATTGATTTTAAAGAAATCAAACAAAGAGAGTGATGGAAAACTGAAAGGGTTCTGTGTTGTCCGTCATTCCTGCTTTTGCCAAAAACAAAGATGGGGGACAGACTAAATCTCAAACCCATGCGGCTTGTGCAGTACCCAGCATTCACATCTGGCTCAATGAATGTCTGAGGAGAATAAGAAAGGCCCATTAACTTGCAGAGGACACGGGATCAAACCAATAAAGAGTGGTTCATATTTTTCTATACAGTGACCTCCTCTCCAAAGCAGGGCCCTCATTAACCTAACAGCTGTCCTAATGTGGCTTTAACCCGATGACTCTTTACATTCCTTATGGCTTCATTAGTTCCCTTGAGACACATCATGTCCTGCACCACAGCTATGATCTACGGCCTAACAAATTCCCTACAACACCCGGCATATGGATCTTTTACTTAACACAGCAGGAAAAAGAAGGGAGTAGTTAATCACTGATTAAAATGCCAGAACAAAATCCTCTAGTTTTTAGAAGGATCTGGGAAAGCAGTAGCAACGTCAGCTCCATTTGAGTGATAGCCAGAAAGTGTGAGTGAGTTTAATTTGGGGCACCTGGGAAAACCAAACACCCAGTGGAAAAAAACCCTCAAACAGGTCTACATTCTATATATTTTTTTTTCCCCTGAGTAAAATATTTCTAAAGTCTTCTGGATAGAGATGATATTAAAGCTATAATAACTTAGGCCTTTGTCAGTATTTCCCAAATATTTGTTTAGCCAGTAGCTCTGTTGTGTTTATCACAGCCAAATCTGAGGACACAATCTGAGAATTATTGTACACCAAAGACTAATTTGCTTAATTCACTCCTGGGTATTATTATGCAAATAATGGCAAGCCTCAAAGTTTCATGGGGAAGAATGCAAATATTTATGATGTGCCACAGTTTTAGTAAATATTCCACCTAAGAACTCCACAAAGCAGGGAGGTAGCCCTCTTTTATCCCCAGGATAATGGGAGAGAGCAGAAGAAGCTGTTTGAGGAAACAGTATTGAAGCAGGGGTCAGAAGATAGGGGTTTTGGTCTCAGCTTGCCAAATGTGTTCTACTGAGGAAGTCACTTAACTCTGCTGTAATCTTGCTGGCTTCAGATTGTTTTTTCTTTTAATTTTAAAATACGGGGTAGGTTAGATCAGTTGATCTCAGTCTGGGTCCACAGATGACCAGGATAATCATGGATGGAATTCAAGAAATCTAGGAGACTTGAGATTTGTACACACAATTTTGTGCCTTTGCCTCTGCCTCTGTGTGTGTGTGTGTGTGTGTGTGTGTACATAAGCATTAACGGGGGGGGGGGTATCCCTGGTTTTGACATTTTCTCAAATATCACTGCTCCCTTTCCTATTCCCAATTAAAAATAACTAGGTGCATGACTTATCATCAGTAATTGGAGGTTCTCACAGAAGCCCAATAGGGATGGATTGATTAATTTCAATTCCAGTACAGTGAACATGCAATGATTTATTAGTTTCAGGTGTACAATAGAGTGATTCAAAAATCCTATATATTATCCAGTGCTCACCACTATAAGTGTCCTCTCAGTCCCCATTTCCTATTTCATCCATCCTTGCACCCGCCTCTCTTCTGGTAACCTTCAGTTCTCCATAGTTAAGAGTTTGTTTTTTTGGTTTTTCTCTTTGTTTTGTTTGTTTTATTTCTCAAATTCCACAAAGGAGTGAAATCATATGGTATTTGTCTTTCTCTGACTTATTTCACTTGGCGTTACATTCTCTGGATCCCTCCATGTTGTTGCAAATGGCAAGATTCCATTTTTCTTTTATGGCTGAGTAATAGTCCATTGTATATATTTGCCCCATTTTCTTTATCCATCTATGGAAGGACATTTGTGCTATTTGCATAATTTTGCTATGGTAAATAACGTTGCAATAAGCATAAGGGTGCATATATCTTTCCAAATTAGTGTTTTCATATTCTTTGGAAAAATACCCAGTAGTGGAATTACTAGGTCATATGGTAGTTCAATTTTTAATTTTTTGAGGACTCTCTATACTGCTTTGCATAGTGGCTGCACCAGTTTGCATTCCCACCAACAGTGCACGAGGGTTCCTCTTCCTCCACATCCTCGCCAACCCTTGTTTCTTGTGTTTTTGATCCAGTGCGGATTTAAAGTCATCCAACAGATCTGTATAGTTTAGAAGTTAAGGTAGGTATGGAATTTTTGGCCCTGAATTCCTTAATGATGCAAAAATATGATCATCCTGAAATTTGCTGCTGGAGTTTGCTGTTGGGATGAATGAAGCTGCAGTTGAGTGTGCCTGTGT